CATATACATGAGGGATCACGAATATTGTCACAAATCACCTTATTTTCGTTCGCCTGATAAATAACAGTAAGCTGTTCCTGACCATCACAGAAAATATGTAAAAATAGAAACTTGCTATGAGGCATTGGACAATGTTAAAGTTTCATCACAATTATCCTGGATAGAATAATTCAATATTAGTCAGAGTATCATAAAAAACCAAGCTTAAAACAGCACTGACAAACTGAAATGAATGTATCTTCCATTGTGGAAGATCCATTGTGTTGACTCAATATTTTTGTATGTGTATTTTCTAGGCAACACACATTTTCGGGGAACAAAAAAGTATTCTTGCATAAACCAATCATACACCACAAGGTTCCCCGGCATTAATGCAACATTTTGCATCTGTTCTTTCTTGCATGATAAATGTTGTATTTCTTCTTAGTTAAACAAGGCTGGCTCGACCATGATGGGAATGTAAAGACATACACAACAACCCCAATAATGGGAATACAACAAAGTGTTTTGATCATAATCAACCAAAAAGTCCTATATCTTTCTGTATCATCCCTACTTGATACCATTCATGGGGTTACAATTGTACCTGGCTGCCACATTCTGCCAAATGCCGGGTCGCCAGGGAAGGCCCCATGGTTGCCCGGTCCACCTGGTTCAAGGCCTGGGATGTCCTGGCCATTGGGCTGCATGTTGGGCTGCTCTGGTCCTGTCGTCTCCTTCTGTGCTATCCATGCTTGTGCCAGGGCAGCCCAGTCCACTTGACCTGCACACAAACAAGGTATTACAGGTCTATTGTGCAAAGAAGCCCTGCAGAGGCTCAGATCTTCTGCAGAAAAATATTCTCATGGTGCATTTGCATCGCTCACTCACCTGGATCTTGTGTGTGCTGGAAAGACTGCATCCACTGCTGCTGGCTCAGGGGCCACTGCGGCCAGGGTTGTCCTCCCTGGTCCCACATCACTCGCTTCTGGATTTACACCTGAAATGCACAGGCCAGCTAGTTACATTTTAATTTGCACCATCGCCATCACTTCTGCTGACATGACTAGAGCTGCTGCAGTTTGTGCGCAGTAACATTACACTGCGTTTACTGGCCAGAAAGAGCGAGTGTTAGCTATAAGATGAAAGCTACCGTTACATGTAGCTAAGCAGCTAGCTGTATTTAGCAACATGGGTTAGCTGCAAGTCATTTGTGCTGTTTAGAGTTGGAAACCCTCGCTATGCAGCATGGGATAACTCATTGTCAACACTGACGCATGATACTGAAATAAACTTGGGCCACTGAAATCCTAACCTCTGAAGCTGCCTGTGGAGCTAAATGCAAGCTTACGTGAGCTAAGCTAATCACGAAAGCTAAATGATACTAGCACCATTATTATACCGTGTGAACAAATGTGCTTTAAAATATAAATAGATAACACACTGGAGGGAAAGTACGAAGTAAACATATATGAGCGCTTTGCTTAGAGTAACATAATCCCCACCTTTTCCAGACAGTTTCTTTCCAGCGCTACGGTTCAGAGTCAAAATGGCTGCACCAGTGAACTGCTCAGCTCGGAGGAAGGAAGTGTGGAACGAGAGGCTCCGCTGCTGCCTTCACAGGCGGTCAGTAATATGACAATATAAAACCTATTTACATAGATCGCCCCCAATAACACAGCGCATCTAATGGATGTATTGCCTTCACCCATTCTTAGTCGGTCTTGGTTTATTTTATGGGGCAGTTTTTTTCTTGACCAACGAGTTAAATTACATTTGTGGTTGTGATTCGTGGTGTGTTTTTTTAGTAAGAATTAGAATGTACGAGCAGCCCTTAAAGGCATCTAGAGGCCGCGAGACATTCAGATGCTGATTAGGTGATGACGACAGTTACTAAGGTCACAGACCACAGACACGCGCACAAAATAGTGAATGTAGACCATGATGTAGACAGATGCAATTTTAAATGAACCAGATTTTCTTTGGACAAAGACTTAAATTCAACGTACACTAACAACTGTATTTTATTTATTTCCATTTTAACATTTAATATAGTTCACACCTTTAACAATGATGTAAAGCAACATACCCTCAGCATGTCTCTGCATGACCCAGTTGGCCTTAATTATTTACAGACATAATGCTGAAAATTCAGGGAAGATCTTGGCGAGAGAAAAACTGGCAAGTATAATCACAGGGGGTCCTTAACCTTGCAGCTCAATAATAATATTTATTATTAGGTATAATGTTTTCCCACTGGTTCTTAGTAACATACCGTTAGTTATATAATGTTTCCTTAAAGGATTTAGGAAATGAAAGATTGTTGTATTTTGGTTTGGTCCGTTTGTCATTTTCATTTAACTTGGTTAAAGTCTATGCTACCGAGCTTACTTTTAAGTACAATATCAGTGTAAAGTACTGATACTCCATGTTTTTTACAAGTTGTACTGGTTATTTAATCACAAAACTACAGTAGCCTATATTTCAACCAGTGATGGAATGTAACTAATGTATTCAAGTACGGTACTTAATTACACAAACACATTTGACTCACTTGTACTTTATCTGAATATTTCAAGTTAATGCATCTTTATACTTCAACTCCATTTAACCCTTGTATGGTGTTCGGGTCTGTGGGACCCGTTTTCATCATTTAGCTAAAGAAAAATGATATGATAAATTATTTTTTCAAACTCACACTTAATGGCCTTGGCTCATTTTCTGTGAAGAACATATATCAGAACACATTTTCAATGACAACCGATCAAGATGGCCAAAAGGTTCTCTGCTCAGAGGGCCTTGCAAATGATTTTGGAAGAGAGAGAACCATTTGATGATGATGTAGAGGAAGAGGAAGAGGTTTCAGAATGTGAGGATCACATTTCTGAGAATTCTGAGTCTGACAGTGACTTTGAAGAAGAGGATGAGATTGAGCATCAGCTAGTTACAAAAGAAAAACGAGCCACAGGACCAGCCGGTCAGTGGGCAAAAAAACAAGTAGCACTTTAATTAATTAATGTGATCTAACAAATGTAAAAGGGCAAATATTAACCATAAATGCAGTTTATATTGCTTGTAATTGTGATGAAGTAAACATCTGTTGAGTATTTTTAACATAAAATAGTTTGATTGTGTTGAATTGAAGCCCAAAAAGGCAGCGGGTCCACCAGACCCACGAACACTGGCTGAGTAACACAAATATGAACACCACACAAGGGTTAATCTCAGAGGTAGATGTACTTGTACAGCTTTAGTCACTTTACAGATTAGTTTTCCATCCCATTGCTGTCTAGTGAAAACCAAAAATCTCTATTTTGATTTGAATGTTTGTGATAAACTGAAGGATGAATGATTCTTTAATGTGTTGAGAAGTTCTCCTGTTCTGAAGCTATATAAATTAAAAACGCTCTTGGATCAGCTGTAAACACACACAAAGATGAAAAGCTGGCCTGTTTTTCTGAGAAACTCATAAAGAATTGAATTTTCAGAGAAACATGATTTTAACAGGACAGAAACAAAGTTACACACATGATGATTTTGTAGAGTGATGAATTGCTGCAGACGTAACTATACAACATTACATAAAGGAGTTACAATTAGCACAACCTTGGACAGTAAAATGCAGTATACGCTAATCCAGTAGTAATAATAATCCAAAAACATCATATTTACTAGGATATATACACCGACAGGGAACATTATACTGCACAATAAAAAATGTACATTTGCTGATTGATAATACATACTTTCACCTAAGTAAGGCTTTGAATGCAGTTCTTGCAGTGTTGTGTTTTTATAGTATTTATACTTTAACTTCAGGAAATGATTTACATACTTCCTCCACCATTGGATTTTAGCACTGGGCCTCCAAAAACCGTTTAAAAAACAGAGACCACCTTGACACCCTTATTTATTTGTATATTCTCTTTAATTCATATGGTGAATAATACTCATCAAAAGGAATTTCTCTGCAGCTAACTAAGGGTCAACTTCTAGTTAATCTAGCCATTTGCTGCAATTCTAAAAGCCAAACATATGTCTTAATCAGTAGAGGGCAGCATTTACTAAGCATGTGTTGGGTAAATTCTAAAGTATTGCAGCAAAATACAGCCAAAAATTAAACCCGGTTAGCTGAAGTGCTTGAAGTGCTTGATGTCCGGTTGCTCAGCAGCTCTGAATGGTTGCCACCACTTTCCTAAAAACCTGAAATTATTTAACACATCTTCGGTTGTAGGAGAGGGCTATGTGCAGGTGTTGGTCAGTGCTCTGTCTTGTGCCGTGTTGGTGTTAATATGGCGCTGATGTGTGTGCACTGTGAGGAGCAGAGCCTCAGGCTGGTGAGGCTGTTTGCATGAGGGAAATGTGTTGATGTACGGTATGTGTGTGTGTGTGTGTGTGAGACATGGTGTCAACCGAGGTGAGACTGACAGTGACGATGGTGTGCATGGTGAGATAAGCACAATGTAACCCTGCTGCTGGTAGATAGGTGCAGTAATGAGCAATCCAGCATTGCTTTGTACACAGGGGGAGGGTGCCTTTCATTAAGTGAGATTAAATCACATCGAATGCATCAGCAGCATGTCCCCGAGCCAAAAGCCATCTCACCCCCCCTTCCTCCCTTGTGCTATAAAAATAGACAAATGCATTTCAGAAAAGATTTGCTCTTTTTGTTGGTGGTGGCTTGACAACCTGTTTTAACGCAGCGCCTCAGATGTCACAGCGTGTGGGAACAACAGGACGTGGAGGGCGATGCTTTTGGACGTTGCCCTTTTTCCTGATTCCACACCCACCTCCTCTTCACCAGCTCGCGACATGTTCTGAAGCAGTGCTGCTTTGCACCCGTCATGCCCGATCACCAGCGAGGAAGGGTTGAATATGGCACCGCTGGATCCAGGGCGACAGCCCACAGCGGTGGTGGTGGACAACATCTCGCTTCGAGTAACAAAAAAATGACATCAAGTCCAAAACAGAAACAGCAAAAACCGTCCCCCCTTCTCAACACAGATAGAAACATGAGAATATCCAGTTCATAAATTAGATTTATTTTGATACAGTATGTCGTTATACTCATTCCAAATGTCTCATAATTCAAATTGAATGGAAACAAAACTTTGCCTCGAGGAAAAACCCTGCACGCCTAAAGCACCATGATTCTGTATTGTTCTGAGTATGAACAACTACATATACCTCCTTATTGTTTTTGCTTACAGTTATACTGTACATAAATATCCCTCTTTGCGTTTCACGATGCATATGTTCGTCTTCTCACCATGCATGAGTTTCTTTAACCTGAAGCACAGGCACTGAGTTCTAGTTTTTCAAAATAAAAGAATGGGAAACTGATGAACAACCCTTTCCATTTCCTATAATTCCATAGAAAAAGATAAGCAGCTCATTTGACAGACATTTCAAGAATACATTCATTTAGAACATTTACCCATGCACATTACGGCAACGATGTTTTTTTTTATAGATAAGTCTTGTGTGTTTTTTTTATGGTTATTTTTGTTAAAGTATTAAGGATAGTCACTGCTTCTTTGTTGATCCTAATAGGTTTGTGAGTGCGCCTACACAGTAGAAGTACCGTACAATGAAGGCACACAAGTTGCTCGGTTGGTCTGACAAACATTGAGTATGTTTTCTTTTTGTGCAACACTCAAGGACCACACCGGCGGCCTTGGATTAACTGACGTTAAAGAAAGCGTATGAAGTCCTCGTGTGTTCGGTTCTTCTGCTCCAACTCCGTCGCAAAACTTGTCTTTGGCAAATGTAATCTACTGATAGTCTTACATTTTTACATTCTGATGTAAAAAAAATAACAATCCTTTAAAATGAGGCTGTAAAATAACTTGTGCTGTTCTTAAAAAGGTGCTATGTGTAACATTTTAAACCACTATGTTGATGTAAACTTGTATAATCTTGTTATCATTATCAGCTAATATGATAAGTAGCCGTTTTGGTGCTGTATTATTAGGTTTAAGTTTCTTATATGTTCCCATTTATTTCACATTAACTCTGTCACAAATGATATAGCTTCCTGTCCTCATACTTCAGTCTCTGTAATATAAGGAAAAAAATGTCTGAATAAATGTTTTCTCTTGACATTTCTTACATTTCTGCCAGAAACAATCAAGAACACATCTGAACAATTCTGTACAATGACAGAGTAGGGCCATGGTCATTTTTTTTATAGAATTACCAGAATAAAATCACAAATGTATGATAAAAAAGGAGATCGTCTGGGTTTAAATTCAGAAATCCACACCGCCAAAAAAAAAGCATGAAATTGTGTTTTTTGTCAAGAATTGACATCACTTAAATTGCTAGGTTGGACCAACCTCATCACACCACAGACGCAGCTTGCCGTGTATTATGCCTGCAGAAGATGACTTAATCAAATAATAGGATTTAGTCATAAGTTTTACATTTGAATCTAAAGAAATATTCAGGTTATTTTTTTATAGTGCTGGGCCATATAAGGTTTCATACCGAATACTGTGAACTTTATACCATATGATATTTTCATATACCGCAATACCATTGAAAAAGTGGCGAAGAGCGCTCGAGCGGTACGGCAGTGAAACAAGTCCCCGTTATTCTGAACCTAAGTTTGAAGGTCAATCATAAGATAAGGATTTCAAATGTGCACTCACGCAGTTTCAGAGAAGGGGGGATATGTTTACATTTTCAAACAGTGCTTTTGTTGTTAGTTGTTATGTGGTACGCATAGTTTGCACAATAAAATGGTTTACATTTTGCAGCTGTTTCCTGCATTCTGGTTCCTTCACAACGTAAGACTCATGATCAATTGGTTTTTTTTGGGGGGGCCAAAACGTATAATTGTAAATACATTTCCAATCATTCAATATATAAATAAATACTGTGAAACCGGTATAATTTGGAAGAAAACTGTGAATTTTTGTCATACCGCCCAGCCCTACTTTTACCACTCAGAGAATATTCATGTATTTTTGTTGTAATTTCACTCCATGAATCTCAGAGAATATCGAAGTTATTTTAACATAAATTCAGGATAAATCTGAGCAATGCAATAAAATATATTTGTTTCTGTATGATGATTCTTTGAAACATGCCAATCTTCTTCTTGATGGTTGTTTGGCAATTACACCAGTTATAATGCTAATTCTCATTTACCATAGTAATGGTTAATGAAATGATACACATAGCACCTTAAACCTACATTCTCCTGTCTCTTACTCAATCATTCACTCATCACACACACTTACCATCCATCACTCAGAGCTGATGCAGTTTGGCATTCGATAATTCTGCTTATTTCCTGTTTGTGACATGTAAAAAAACCTCCTTTTTGCAGTGAGTATCTCCGGCACGAGATTGTGACAGAAATAGACGATAAACTTAGAACAGCTCAGGCTCAGTCATACTCTTTTTCTCTGACCTTTCTTTAAAGGGTAAGAAACATGAATGAAAATAAGAAAATAATCACTTTAACATATGATGTTTATCTTTTATATATGTAAGATATTAAGAGGTGTGATTTCAATTGAGACAGTCATTCCTCAACCAAGACGAGTAAGTGTAAAGTCCCTTTTTCTTTCGTCCAGCTTCTCACAGAAACAGTATGAGGAGTTTTACAGGCGTGTACCAAAAACAAAACGAGATCTAGGGAAAAATACTTTTGAGGGAGTTACATTACAGGAGTTCCTCGTAGAAGAGCAGGTATGCCTGAGAGTTGAGTACCCTTGACTCTGGTACCGTCTGAACGGTGGTATCGCTGATGTACACCCACTGGCCCTGGAAGCTGCTGCCGGCATCCCTCGCACCTGAAACACACACACACACACACACAGTGTCAAAACACAGGGCACTCCTTTGAGACATTTGTTTGCTATGTGGGGCTGATTTAAAAAGGGCCCTATGCTGCTTTTTTGGGGTTACCCTTTCCTGTAGTATGTTATAAAGGTTGTTGTGCATGCAAATGGTCTGCAAAGGCTAAAATCCCAAAGTTCTGCGACATAGTGACATCAGTTGGTAACACTCACGCTTCTATGAAAAAAAAAACATGCGTATGAGAAAAATGAAGAGCTTTTTGAACATTAAATCATGTAAACATGTCTCAGTAGAGACACTAAATAAATATATGAACCTGAAAATGAGCTTAACAGGGCCCCTTTAAACTATCCATATCTCAGGTCGTCTACTTCATGTTTCTATTGTTTTTATTTGTATTTTATTTAATTAAATAAAATAACTATTCATATCTTACATACATGCACTGCAACTATAGTTCTTGTATTTTATACCTGTCTGATTCTACGTTATCTTTATTTGTATTCTCTGGGCTGAGCTTTTAATGGCAGTTTTTTAAAATGTATTTCAATTTTGAATCGGGATGAAGAGCGGATGAAATGCATAAATGGTACGAGGACATGTGCCACCAGGCTCTACCAGGTGAGCTATTAGACAGAAATGCTTTTGGTAAAGCACTTAGAATTCCAAAGTGTTGAAATGTTCTATACAAAAAAAGAACATTTCAAAACTAAATAATAGTCCAAGTCTAAACCTTTTTTTCTGATGAGCTGTCAGAGGATGGCAGCAAAGCTTAAATAATACTATCCAACAAAAAAAGAAAGACATCCATACTAGCATGAAAAATGTTAGGCTTCTCAATGACGCAACCGTCACAGCTAAATGGTGAAACTGTTGTAGAATTCAATTACTTACACTGACTGCTGTTTGCTGGCACAAACCTGAATTGAGTCAGATGGGTGCTGTGTACTGTCTGCATGGGTGTGCATCTTTATTTTTGCTTTGTTCGAAATGTGTTTTCTGCCGAGTCGTCTTGCAAAACCATTCACTTAATCAGCTCAACTCCTCGTGTGTCACCCCAGCTTTAGTGACTCGAACATACAGTAAAACACTTCAGATTTAATCTGCTAGAGATGCTCTGTAGCCCAGAAATTGTTAGGAAAAATAAACGTTTCTTTCATGTACCTATTTCTCTGTCTGCAGATAATCTCACATACTACCAGACCCTTCAGCCAAATACTGTTTGTGCTCATTGATGACAGTATGCTCAGGGACCCTGTTGCGTTTACCGCAATTGTTTTGTACCGTTGACTGTACCGTAGATCATCCTTTCTTTTAGGGTATCTCTGTCTTTCAGTCAGGCATAATGATGTACATTTGTTGTTAGGAATTGCATCTTTAAGGGGCGGGGTGGCGCAGTTCCACAGTTGGGGAACTCCAGTTCGAAACCCGCCTCCACCACCACTGCGTCAGGCCGTTGTGTCCTTGGGCAAGACACTTCACCTGAATCTGCTCCTGTGGGTATTGTCCACAGTACATGTATGATATCAATGTGTACTTGCAAAGCGCCTTGATGACTTTGAGGTGTGAAGATGGGCGGTGTGGTGCTGTGGGCTGTGCATTGATCATCAGATCAAGAGCTGCGTCTGTAAAGCCGTTGTGTCCTTGGGTAAGACACTTCACCTGAATTTGCTCCTGTGGGTATTGTCCACAGTACATGAGCATTACATGTATGTATGATCTGTATGTGTAATGTGTATTTGTAAGGAGCGCTTTGAGAGTCATTGAAAAAGCGCTATAATAAATATAAGGATACAGCAGTGCAAGGATTACATGATATGGTGAAGGATTTGTAAAACTATAAACATATTTTCACTGGTGGAATGTAATGAAGGTGGACAAAAAAATATGCTACATTATGATGCAATTAAAATGAAAGACGTCTTGGTTCCTTTAACTACATTTTTTACTACACTACAGTTTGGAAACCAGTATTATCTGTTATACCCCACTACATTTATCTTATCTTTAGTTACAGATTATTAGCTGATAATAACCAAAATAAACCAATACAAAAACATTAACACAAACTAACAGCTGAGAATATCCAACAATAGTCCAAGTCATTCAAAATAGCTCCATCTTTACCAGCTGTGATGAACCCATTAAAGCTGCATTTGTGCGTCAAAGGTTCAGCATTAAATGAAGTCAAAGTTGAAAGGATTTTAACTTTGAGCGCAGTGCTCGGTGCATGACGCCTAGTTGGGCGGCACCACTCTCTCCATAGAAACGGCAACATCAGCCAGAGCAGCTTAATGTGTCACTGATCATAAATCAGTTATTTCATATACATGATTCTGAAACGGGCTTAACAAACACTTGTACTTTTGATACTTAAAGTATATTTTGATGCCAAAACCGACCTTAAACTGATATCATTATAAAACTGAGATGACTCGATCTTTATTTCTACATATTTTTTCATAAAAAAAACGCACTAGGAGAAGTTTATTCTAGCCAGTTGTTGTTTATCAGTTGAGAAAGTTGCATTAGTTAACTCAATATATGTGTGTATCATCACCAACTAATGGGTGCAATCACAGTCTAGCTTTACATGAACTTGTTCGCAGCAAAGACTTCTGTGAGTTTGTGAACTTCCTTTCAGCACTAAACTGTGAATCATGACACAAACAACATGAATGTATAGAACACAAAAGCCTCTATTCATCCTGGACTTTGTACATCTTTGGTCGCATGGAGTGAGACCTTTGCTGCACACTACAACAGAGCGTAAACACACACAGACACAGAACATAGATCAAAAATCTTGAAGGAGCTCAAATGAGATAATCCCTGACCTGACAGGTTCCTGTAGTGCGCTTCCATTTTCCTCTGGGGAGCGCGCACCTTTACATAAGCAGTGTAGTGGCCCCCCCGCATTGATCCACTATGTTCCACAATCCCGTACAAACTGTAGAGGACACGCTCACCGGCTGCCAGGCTCTAGGGAAAACGAAAAAGGCAGGTTAGCAAAAAATGGGAAAGAGAGCTAAAAAAAAAAAAGGGAATACACAGAGGGCTCCAGGGACAGTACCAACCAAGGACATTCAAAACAAACTGAACTAAATCAATTTCTAGTACACAGAATATTTCTTACTTTGCAGGAGGCCGAGCAGAATGGAGCCAGGTCCAGGATCAGGGGAAAATCGACATGGCGGTTCACTTTTCGTAAGTTCATTCCTGCCTTCAAGTAAAAAAGGAGAACCACACACACCGTCACAAAGATCTGCATACAATACAACATGTGGCTACCTGCTCCATTAAATGGAAGGCAAGAAAAGGCAGTGTGTGTCTCACCTGATGGAAGCGTTTCAGATGTAATGTGATGACAGGAGGCAGCGAGGATATGAGTATTTGCTTCCTAGCACTGGTGTAAATCTTCTCCATCTTCTTGTCTAAAGGCAACAAAAGAATACATTGAAATGAAAACAAGAAATTACGATTCATTCATAATAACGCATGAATCTTTGGAAAAAAAGGATTGAGTCAGTGATAAAGAGAGAGAGTGAAATATAGAAAGTGTCAATTACCAAAAAAAGTAAGATTCTTAAGTGTTCCTCATTTTGAAAATAGGAAGACTGATGTTTGCAAACACCAATATGGAACTGATTTCAGGAAAAGGGGCCTCAGGTTTAACTGCTAATCTGCTCCACACTCTGTCTGTTAGCTTTGAGGATTTGTATTGTTATGTTTTGTTTTGTTTCAGAAGAACCCAATTTAACATAATTTGTCAATATTGCAGTCTAATTAAATAAAAAGACAGTAATACAAAAAAGGAATTAAACCGCACAACATGATTTATTCGCAGGTAGGCTACTTGGTTGCTCAAAGCTCTTTGTGGTAGTAGTTTGATCGTTGGTCTTACCGACGGAGGTGCTCTTGCGCAGCTGTTTGTGTCTGCGCTCGGTGCAGTTCTCACACAGCAGCTTGTTGTTGCCCATCAGCAGCTCCACGGAGGTGAACTGGTGGAGGCAGGACTGGATGGAGCACTCCTTGGAGCTGGGTGTGTAACTTTGGGAAAGCGCCTGGAACGCCCCTTGGTGGTGCTGATGGTGGAGGTTAGAGGCCTCCTCTGGAGAGCAGTGTGTGGGGGGGGAGCAGTCCCCGGAGGTGAAGCCGAGGTTGACTTTGGACACGGCGGTAACTAGCTGCTCCACAGCGCTGCCATGCTTCGTGGCGGATGAAGGCGAGGGGGAGGTGGAGGAGGCGGGCGTAGGGGATGGAGTGAGGGTGGAGGTGGACGACGGGGTGGTCATGTGTCCGTGGCTGTGGCTGGAGGAGATGCGCGGGGCCCACTCACTCTCTGAGGCCTCGCTGTCAGCGTCATTGCTGCTGTCCTGAGGACCAGAGTCTCTCTCACTGCCGTCTGATAGGCTGCCGGCGGCGGCCATCTTGCAAACAGAGATCCCGCGGGCGGATCCAGCAGCTATGCCCTCCTCCTCCGGCCGATCCAAACTGCAGCTTGCTCCCTTCTCTTCCACAGAACTTGAAGACCTCCTGCTCTGCTGCTTCTAGAGAAAAGAAGAAGGACAAATACATTAGTCCACTTCAGAGCTGCAGTATAAATTGTACATGTTAGTGTCGAGGGTAAAAGGATCTTGTTTCATATCCAATAAGAGTTGCTCCCCCTACCTGTGCACCCAGCTTCTTGGTGTTTCTGTTGACAGAGTGCGCTGCAGACTGAATCTGGTCACTGTGCGTCACCTGGGCTTCCTGCTCCCGGACAACCTTTCCTAGTCTACTAGGGTTGGATGGTTTTGACATCTGATGGCGAAAAATTATCGATCATCAGTTTTAAGGGGACCATAAACAATATTGCATAGCCTTTTCTGATAAACAAAACCATGCATTTTGCATGCAAGAGAACATGCAATACGCAAAATTAATCTCATCATCTGTCAAAAAACTGTATTTTCTTACTCATTAAATGGATAGTTTAGATTGTTTGGCTTGAAGTCAAATAAGGTACTTATCTAAAGACCTACAATAGATGGCAATTGGAAATACCCAATTTTTGAAAAGCCAGCAGCAAAACCACCTTTAAAAATTCAGTTTAAGTGTACACTATATTTAGAATATTTTCACCAGTTTATCCCTTTCAGAAAGCTTTCCAATCGTGGTAGTAAAACAAGAATTCCTGTGATCTGTGAGGTAAAATAAGTGGAGTCTGGTGGCTTAAAAGAGAAAATAGATGACGGCTTTAGGTCCTTGTCTTGAGGGCTTTTTTTTCGCAAGGTAAAGTGATTAAAATATTTGAATTATAGCACACACTTAGACTGAAATGTTTTGGTGGCTTACATCTTTTGATCCTTCCCTCCTCTAAAGCTGTACATTTCTTTACTCCTTTATCTATAACTTCTAAAAACTGGGCACGTGCTGCCCATTATCAATGGCATTGACTATGGATAAGTACCTCATTCCACCCCACTTCAAAAAATCCGAACTATCCCTTTAAGTTAAGTCCTTTAATGTCAATTGCACAGAATTTCTCATGAACAATTGTAGCGGCTCACCCTCTCCTCTATGATGGGTAGAGATATGTCTATGAAAGCCTCCTTCACCGTGGAGATCTGAAACAGAAATCTCATGTTAGTCCCTGCCAGGATTTATATATAGCACCATTTTGGAACAAGTCTAAATGATAGTCGGGTTTTTAACAGTAAACAGTTTTTGGTTGCTTTTTCCTCTCCAGCTCCACACCTGGTGCTCTGTTCCTTCAAGGATGTTCGTTAGTTTTTCAACGTGGTGTTTGCTTTGTTTAAAACTCGGAGCTCCCAAATATGATTCGAAACACCAAGCAGTTGGTGTTCAAGCTGGTCCTTGAGGGGGTTTTCTTGTTTTGTTTTTCCTGTTGATTGTATGTTTTCTCTCACTTATTTTTCGGTACATCCTGTGTGGGAATCAGAATCAAACCTTAACCCTGAAAGTAACTAGTAAGCTAGAAAAGAAATAGAAACTTGATGTTGGTTAGCTTCACCTCGGGTCAGTGACAAATATCTGTCAATGTATTATTGACAGAAGTATTGCTGGAAATTGTATGGCAGGCAATCTTGCCTATTGTGAGTCCTGCAGCGATATGAAATGGAAAAAGATGGTTTTCCTTACAACGTTTAACTGGGTAACACAATGAGTGTATATAAACCTACTCTACCACCCTGTGCATTATATGTGTTTCATTTAGGGCATCGCATTGAGCTGCGCCTAATTGGTTCCCACAGACTACTCTATGGATCAGAAACATACACTTACATGCTCGCACTCTTCACACATGATCGTGTTTGTCAGCTCCCCTACAAAGATGCGGTCAACGAAGTTCATCTTCACGCCTTCCTTTCCGTACGCTAGTGGGAGAGAGAAACATCGTTTTCAATATAATTATTTAAGGAATCATTTTCTTGCAGTAAAAAATATTGGTCATTATTAGAAGAAACATTTTATTAGCTTCTCTGCAAAAAAAACAAACAGATGTAGATATGGATGGGTATAGTTAAGATTTTAACGGTACTTCTACTCTTACTGATACTGCTTATCGATCAAGTACTTTAACAGTATTCTCTTCGGTTGTTTTTGTTATTTTTTAAGGGAAAAACTAAACAAATGTATTATTGAAAAATCAATTCAATTCAAAAAGTCAATTTCTTACAGCAAAAGAAACAGCAGTGTTTTTAACAAATCATTATAGACTAATGTTGTGATGAAGGGAATGTAAAACAAATTAAATAAACACTAATTTACTGCAAAAGAATAACACAAATTACCTTTAATCATCAACCCATGTTTTTAGAATTTAGTTTACTCTGTGATTGCTAGTAAGGGTTTACATAGAACATTTATTTCACTTATGACAATGAGCCTTGAAAAGTGTAACCATATTTTTGAACACGTCATTCTCCCCGCCATCATTACTAGCGGATCTCTGTTTTAGTGTGCTGCACTGGGCTGATTTCTCTTATGGACTTGAAAGAGCCCAAATGCATCAAAGGCACATTTTGTCATCTTGCAAATTAGAATTATTGTCTGTTTAGGTTTATTCAACAAAGACTACACTCTGCAGCCTTTGCCTTGTGAAAACTGAGCTGTACTTCCATCACCTGCCACAAGATGGGGATATTGATCTTGGCCATTGTCACTGCAGTCTGTAAACTGTTAGTACCTTTAACTTGGCGTTTAGTGTCCTCATCTGCTGTCTTCTCTGTGGGATTGTTGAAGGCTTTCAGAATTGCGGCTTTCACCCTCTGTACACAATAAAAACAAACACACAAAAAGTAAAAGAACAATTCAGACTAAAAATCATATTTCTAGATGCGAAATGATTAAATTAAAAATCTAAATTCACTCCGGGGTGTTTTTCTTGCTCTCCATTACATCCATTAGTGAAATATCAAAATGTAGCCCGCAGCTCAGTGTGACAGGTATACATATTATAAGCATCATTAGTGTAAAATAATTATTGTGCCTGTCGAGAAACGTTAAATGTCTTAATTATCAGTGCGTGTTTGTGTGTGTCTATGAGCTGTTGGCTCTCATCGAAGGTGACGTGGTCAGTGAGTGTGTTGGTGACAGAGCTGTGAAGAGCCGCACAGCCGCAGTAAAGCAGCAATCAATAGATAATTGGCCACGGTCTGTGTCTGTGGTCGAGACCAGTCGGGCCCCCATTGTCCCGGGACCCACGCACTGGACTGGCTATTTAGGTCAAAAGTCCTGTTAATCCTAGCCGGGGCCAGCGTGCACCCCTCGCAGTCGGCAGTCAAACCGGGCTGAGGCTCCCCTACTAATTAATTACCAGTAACCCCCCTCACCCCCCTCCCATAAAGTAACAGCGTGCACTGTCCCACACAGAATGGGCCAAGGGGAGGGGGGAGTTGGAGAGGGTTTGCTGGTAGAAGGGTGCAGGGGTGGAAACTAAAACGAAGACAGGGCGAAGAAGGACAGTCCATGCCCTGAGAGAGAAATACCTACCGTCTCAGCTAATTGGTGATAATTGACTGGGGCCAAATTAGCATATTTAGATCTCTGATACTAATGGCCAATCAACACAAACACTTAGGGCCTCTAAATGTTGGTGACACCCTCTGCAAATACTACCAGTCTCCCTATCTTGCACACTCACGCAAGACGGTGTGTAAATATTTGACTGTACTCAAAAATGTAAAATGTGCCTTTTCAAATGCTCGCCAAGTTTAGATCCATTGCTGTTAGTTAAATTAAAAAAAATTGTTTCATGTTGTCCAGTGTTTAAATATGAACAACATTGATGCAATTAATTTGATCTTAATTTAAAAAGTGTGTTATCGTTTAATATTTGCGGTAAAATTATTTTCAATAATCTCGGCTAAAATGCCACTGTATCTGTAAATGTGCTTGGCTGTATAGATGAGTTTCTGAGTGAATGAATAGGAGGCCGTACCCCCCCTCCCTCTTTACTGCCTTGATTGGATTGGGAGACTGGCTGATGAGTGTGTGTGGTGTGTGTGTGTGTGTGTGTGTGTGTGTGTGTGTGTGTGTGTGTGTGTGTGTGTGTGTGTGTGTGTGTGTGTGTGTGTGTGTGTGTGTGTGTGTGTGTGTGTGTGTGTGTGTGTGTGTGTGTGTGTGTGTGTAGGTGGGGGTTGTGGGTAACCCTCAAGCACAATGGGACGACCCTGGAGCTCATTCAGCAGCTGTGGGTTTCCCAAGATCACACAATGATGCCGGTCGTGCCACTTGCAAGTCCCCTAAGTGGCACAACTGTCGGCGTTCACAAGTTTGAATGGGAAGCAAGGGAGCCCGGCCCGCGGCCCCTCCTGGGTCTGGGGGCTGACCACTAAAACACACCCGCCAACTTCTCCTCCTTGGTTCACACAGCCACTGGTGGGGCCACAGGGGCCTGCTCAGCCCTGCACAAGGGCTACTGTGGGGTCTTCTAATTGCCCTGTGAAGGGTTTTCGGGGGGAGGGTGGTTCACTGTACTTGCCAAAAACATGGCACCATAAGGTTAAAACACAAAAACTGGCGAGCCATGCAAAAACAAGATTCCGGGTTATGTGAAAGCTTCACAAACACACAGCTGCACGTCTTACACACTAGACTACAATGGCTTTCAAAACAAACAGAGAGTGGTTAGATTGTTTTTGAAGGGGCCCCATTATGCTAATTTTGAGGTTCAGATTTGTATTTTGTGCCTTTACTGAGACATGTTTCCATACTTTAATGTTCAAAAAGGTCTGTATTTTACTGCCTGTGCTGCAGCACCTCTTTTCACCCACTCTGATTTGTTGGCCGGCTCTTTTGTGATTGGTCAACCGCTTACAGATTTCCTGTCCCTTAGCCTACATTTAAATGTGTAAATACCTTGAGCTTTGTTATAACCTGATTTAGAAAGTACATAAGGTGTCCTCACTTAGCACATTTCCTTCTTTCAAAATGCATTGGTTAAGATACCTCAAATACCTTGAGTACTGTGAGTAATTTGATTTGAAGCACCTTTCTGGAACAAAAAGTGAAACTTTAACATTACAAAAGATCCCAGCCTAACACATTATGCACTTGAAAAACCCTGTGAGCTAGGCTTTTTACAGTTATTACACGTGGATGTGATAATATATGTAAGCTCACTTTAGTTTCCTCTACTCGTATGGAGTCCAGGAGGTAGTGCAGAAGCTCCTGGCTGTCCTGTTGTTGGTAGCCCTTGAAGCGCGGAGCCCTAGAAAAAACACACAAAAAAAACATGGATGTAAATCAAGAACAATAGGACATAGAAAATTGAGAGTAGAACCGCAAAAGGAAGCAGCATATAGTGGAAAAAAGGCTGTGTAAAGTCTTCCTTTCAGAACCCTAAACACATTTTTCTTCCAGAGATTCAAACCTGCTCCTTCTGCTTAGCATCCTGGGATTTCTAACAGGTTTATACCAGGGGGAATGAGGTCTCTTCACCAGCATGAAGAGGGCATAATTAAGCACACCAAGGATAAAATAAACATGAAATATTGATATAATTTCAATTATATACTTAGGATAATATCATGTAAATAATCTAGTGCCTTTTAAAGATAATTGTAAATAATTGTATAATGAATAGCCAATTCAGACAACCTTTTTTACATTGGGTTATCCCTGAGGAATACAAAGAGCCATTACAAGGTCAAAGTACTCCAGAGAGAACAAAGACAATATTTATAACTATAATACAAAATAAATGACACCTTCACCCTGCTGGCAGTCAATGCATCGCCTTGGCTTTTTGATTAGAATGGTATTGCCATTTTGTTAATTGGCTAAGCATCCTGGACATTAATGCACAGCGGTTAGTGGGGAGGCTCTCCTTGGCTCCGTCCCCTGGCCGTCCGCACTGAAGCAGATGTGCGGACAGATGTCAGGGGCAGATGGGCAGCCGGGGCTGCAGCCACGGCAACCTGTTGGGGCCGAGCCCGCCACATAACCACAGGACAGGTTGGTCCGACAGGCACAAGACAGCAAGAGGTTTAAGTCAAATGTTAAAGATGTTTGGGTGGTGGGTTAACCCCTTTACTGTGGAGGTATTTTACTGGTACTTAATGGACTACACCAGAGGCCCTTAGGACTTTATGGTGTAGTATTAATGCTTCTCCTGACGTTTTAAAGAGTTAAAACATATCTTTTTTTGTATTTTGGTTTAACAATGCATATTTTATAGTAATGATTTACAATCGAAGAAAGTGGTAATATTCTAAGGCTGCATAATTAATAGAAATGGTATCACATTTGTAATTTGACTAGTGCATTATTAAAATTGTGGGAAGCGCAACATCTGTTAAAGGCTAGATATGTGTTGAATTACCATTTTGAATGAAGTATTGTGGAGCTGCAGAGATACCCCTGTATACAAACGGTATTATAGAAATTCAACTAAACAAGCTGGTTTGGTACAGATCCTCTTATTTAAAAAATGTAAATGTAGAATTATGATTAATAAAAGATATCAATAACTCATAACTCAATTCGTTATTTTTTCCAATTTGTGCAGCCCTATAACATTCTGATAAAAATGTATTAAAATAACACACTGAAATCATTACAGCAATGTGTGTTCTTTTCATCATCATAGCAGCATTGTGTTTTACAGCCATTCATTAATGCCATTCACAGTTCTACTTAGAAGAAGAATTCACTTTAAATGAATAATCCCTCTAAAACATGCTGACATGTGGCCCTAGAACGGATGTCCGTGGTTGGGGGAGTGATGTCCAACCACCTGCCCTCAACACAGGTCATAACCAGGAGGTCTAGAGGAGCCTAAAGCCACCCCCTCCTCTACATACAGTCACGCTATCTGTCTCTTATGCCCTTTTCCGTGCAGACACATGGGCAAGGGTGGTTGGAGGGTATTGAGGTTGGTACAAAGCACATGTCATTTATTCGCCGGCTTTAAAACTGAACAGCATGTGAAGGAATGTTTCCCTCTGGTTCCGCTGACTAGTCTCCCAAGAGAGAGACACACTGAGAGGCAATTAAAGCAAAACAGGGAAGGAAATGAGTGAGACAGAAAAAGAGTCTGAGACAGAAATGTAGAAGAAGAAAAAAATGAAAAGGTTGGTTGGGATCAGTGGGAATGATGAGGTCTGCAAGCTCATCCCAGTGGAGAGAAGCAGAAGGGCCCTGTAGCGCTGCTCTCAATCTGGCCAATGCAAACAGCTGCGGTGCTAACACAATTAATAGCCGGATGAGTTAGTACCAGACACAAGGCCACACAAGCTCCCCCCAACACACACACACACACACACACACACACACACACACACACACACACACACACACACACACACACACACACACACACACACACACACACACACACACACACACACACACACACACACACACACACACACACACACACACACACACACACACACACACACACACACACACACACACACACACACACACACACACACACACACACACACACACACACACACACACACACACACACACACACACACACACACACACACACACACAGTATATGAGCAACACAATGCACCCTCACACACACACACATTAAAATGATCAAATATTTACTCACACACAGCCATAAAAAAAAAACTCTGACTCATTGATGTCCATACCAATTCCTATAGAGACTATAACAACAATGCCATGTGCAATATACTCCTTAGCTATTTAATATTGTTATGACTTTACTAATTGTTGAGTCACTAACCTTTTATAACGCTGGTGTTTATTTTTTTTACAATGGATTTTTCATTTTTCTATTTTATTTCATTAACATGTGCTAGCCTCTTTATTTAATTCATGTCAGCTAAACCATTTTATTTTTGCTACTTATCTGCACTGTCCCTTTTACTATAACACGGTCAATTTACTGATTCTAATGTAGATGTTTGTAAAAAATGTGTGACATCAAAACATATAGAAGCGCACAAAACAAAATCTTTACACATTTCTTCCAATATTTGGACAGATTTTATCTTTACGAACAATACAAGTTTTTGGGTAAGAATCAAGCTTATATTATATGTTTGCTTGATGCCTTTGTAGCTAGGTGAAAATCTATAAAAAGCTATTTCTTCTATGTGTGAGAAGTGGATGCTGTTTGGATTTTTACATCACTTTATAATTAAGTAAACACCTTATCAAACCACTTTATCATATAATCTATCTCAGATATTAAGCTACACTGTGCAACAAATATCTTATGATATTGTATTTTATATTTGAGGGGATTTATGTGATAAGCCTCTTGGTTCTGCCTGCATATTTTTACTGTACTGCTGTAAATATGATTCTTCTCCTCAAACTTATGGACAAATATGTGCCACCTTTGCCTCTGTCTCTCTCTGATAACAATTTAAGGTTTCGAAAATTCAGAAAAATCATTGCCAGCCTTGGAGATGATTCACTGTCAGCTTCTTTGTAAACAATGTATTTCTCAACTTGTGCTCACATGCACCGACTTTTTCTGTTTTGTATATAAAGGCAATCAACATCCTCCTATTTTCAGATTCTGTAACAGTCACCGGTACACCAGAGTGGAGGGATTCTCATCATCCGATTGTAAAGTTAGAATCCCAGGAATGTGCTTCTCGGCTCGTACACAAACAAATATTTGTATTACTTTTTGGACCATCTGTGAATATCTTCCTCTTTTTTTCCATCCTGAAAGGGGTGTACCTCCTGATCAGACCAGTATGCCAGCCCTGCCTCTTTGTTTGTGTCCTGCAAGAATGTAGATGTGTGTGTGTGTCCTGGATGCCAGAGCAATAGATGGAATCTATTGTGCTATTTCTATCAGGGATTCATCAGGACTTCTTATAAAGGATTATGAACAACATTGTGGGCTGGAATACTTTTATTTTCTACAAGAAAGTATCCAGTGGCCGTGCTGAAAATGGAATCAGTCCTTGAAAGATGCAGGTGTAGATGAATGCCTGTGTGTGGACTTTTTGTCCAGCTTATACATTAGATATGCATAGAGCTAGCATCTTGATAAATAGCAGCAGTAGTCAGGCTGTATGAAAACCGCTGTCCCTGACCTCAGACTCCAGGTGCCCAGGAGGAAGTAGATAAATATTGAATCAAATGTTACTTCTCCCAGTTTTTCACCACTGATAAGCCTAGTCGTAGCCTGCCCTGGGTACAAGCTGGGACCCTCTCTGGCACCAGATACAGTGTGTGGTGCTGACCGTCAAACCCATGGAGCTTGGCACTGCTCCGAGCCCAGACCAGAGCCCTTTCCCTTGGCAGGAGGAACAGGCAGGCTGTTGGGTACTCAGCTGGTTGAGGTCAAATGTGAACACAAGCGTAGAATCCATTCACTGTATATATGAGGTGGAAACACATAAACACGAACCCGGGCTCAATAGGGCTCCAGCGTTGCACATAAACACTCAAACTCGCCCTCTTTTCGGAGCCGAAAATCCTTATTAACTTGCCTGTCAACACTGAGAAAGACAGAGAAAGAGAAATGTGAAAGCGCTCTCTGCCCCCACAGGGCCATGGGCAGACCCAAACCTCTCAGAATGACAAGAGCTTGCGGTGAAGACGATGATGGCTATATTCACAGAGTGTAGCCGTTACAGAGGTCAGAAGTGGAGAAATGTGATCCTTGTCAACAGGAGTCGTTCTTGACTCTTTCCTTTTCAGCTCAAAGCTTTAGTAGGGGCTGAATGTAGAGGAGTCGCTGTGTGGGAATCCATTAGAGAAGCGTTGCAGAGATCAAGCACGCTTTGTGGATGTTTAACAAAATAGCATATAAGTGAATTAGGCCTTGAAAGTGCAATATTTCTTCCAAGTAAATCAGAAACAGCAGCTGAAATCTTGATGGACATCATTCGATTAAATATTGAATATAACTTTCCCTTAAAACTGTTAAAAGAGGCAAGATTACAAAGTATCGCAAGTGATAATAACTGTTTGAGGATCCTTTAGTCTTAAACAATGTGCTTTCGCATCGCTGCTACAGTAACACTGCTTCACAGGCTGATGGAAACAAAACAAAAAAATGAAACTTTTGACCTAAAAGTCATAGTTTAGATAGTCACTCTTTTAAGACATTAACCATGTCCCTCAGAACAAAGCCAGCACTTTTAAATTATTGGTAAAGATGTCAAGAGAATTTGCATACCCAATATAACTAGACACTAGGTATTAAGATTAAGGTAAATAAATTAGGTTAAGGTGCGTGTGATTCTCTTTTAAAGATTAGGGCTGCATATTAGCATTTACTCATGCAGGCCTTTATTAAAGCTCACTTGTGGTATAAGTGTACCATATGGGTATTGGGTGCTGAAGCTTAAGGTCATATCTCTCTATTCAAATGCATGTCAGTGGAATGGATTAGCCCTACTTGAAATTAGACGCGTATGAATGCATAAAGGTGTGTGCAGCGCTTGCTGTATGAATGCACAATTGCCTGCATGTGTGTTGCAGGCTGAGATGGTACCAGGTGAGGTGGCAGCACAACCACACACACACATAGAGGCCTATCTGATGAAAGCTAGGTACCAGAATAACTGTCAAAGCCGCACCAGAGATGCACCCAGTCATCCAATGTCAAATGTCCTGGTCACCCACCTGCACTACTAAACAGTGCAACCCCCCCCCTCTACTCATACACACACACATACATGCAAAGGGTGGACCCAACCAGCAGTGTACCATGCTCACACAGGAACCCAGCCAACCAGACATCCACACTGTTCATAAAAGAGAACAAACCCAGTGTTCAGTTGACAAATGTGGGGCTTCCTCCGCCCGCCACACCGCCTGTTCGACCTTGCTCTGGATCAAACATGACACAGGTGGCACAGCAGTGTGGCAAGTAGCAGAAAGAGCCACAAATAGGAAGCTGCTGCTACACATTTAACAAGGTACTGGGCCTGCAGTGTATTCTGTGTGTTGAGCACTGAAAGGCATTCAGCAGGGACCAGGTGCTACCTGGGTCTGGCTGGTTAAAGTGGTCAGTGAGGGGATGAAAGCAGGTGAAAGCTGCGGCTCCGCTGTTGTACTGCTGTGATGAAGGAGAACTGCAGTACTAACAATCATGGCTAAGTTTGCATACCTTACTGACCCTGAGGTGGAATATTTGCATACAGAGTGTAGAGATAGCATTTCGTAGTGGGGGAATTTATGGTGGTTGATAGGAAGGGAAGCGGCTTACTTCTGGCAGAGCTGGTTGAAGAGGATCTTGGGATTGACCGGGCCTTTCCCTGGGTCCTTCATGCTCTGGAGGAAGAGAAACATGGCCGCCGTCAGGGGCTCTGGGCTGGGCAGCATTACTGTCAAAGGACCCTGGAAAGCAACAGACAGAATACAATTTAGAAATTAATTTCCACATTTAATTTAATTTAATGTGCAAATAAAAGCTAAAATATGTCAGTTTTATTTTAAGCATGTGCTGAACTTTTTTTTACATTTAAAGGTTATATGTATGTACGTCTATAGGACATTTTCATGACGTCGTCACATTAAAATAATTAAGAAGAAAATGTGTTATGGAGGTTATGAAAATGTATTTATGGCGCTGTTAGATTGCTTCTAGACTGCCTCGTTAAAAAGGTGTGTTCCTCCCTATGTGTGTAGCAAGCAGAAGAGCCAACATGTTTTTAACCACTGGGAAAATGTTAGTTTAGCAAGGCTAAATATAAAAGGTTGCTAAATGTTGTCGATTCTGGAATAATAATAATACATTTTAATTTGTGACATTTGGTCTTTACTATGCTCTGGGATAATTACATTTGTTTGGATCACACAAGCCCGAAGCAATCCTATGCAACCACCCCTTTAATCTAATTCTACAAATATTATAATACTACTGGAATTTCAATATAAGTGAATGTTGATTGAGAATTTGTTGATAATCAACATTATAAATAAAGCATTGAACAATTTGGTACAGACTTAGTTTATATACTTAAGAAATATGCCCTGTATAAAATAAGGTACAAAATGAAATCTAAATATGTTTGTGTTTGTAAGTTACATGACTTACATTTAAAACTTAGTAATTAAAATGATACATTTTCAGTTTATGTTACTAATGAATGCTATTAATACTACAGGGAACATTGAGTTACACAGAAGCTTCATTAGAATGATAATTTCAAAAGTAATTTGCATGTGCTCAATCTATAGATAGTTTCTATGGCTTAGAAAATAGAAAAGACAGCAAAGCAGAATGTACCACATTGGTTTCACCAGTGGGGCTGATCCTCAGTTTGAAGCCTTTCTCCTTCACTTCCTGGATGAGGTCGATTAGCATGTGTGTCTGAGACAGGTTCTGCGAGGAAAACACATTTTATTACTAACATTTTATAAACAATTAAAAAAATCCATCCCGTTATAAATGCCATTAGGTATAGGTAAGATCAACAGATTTCAAGGGGCTGAATACTGCTCATACAATCAGCAACAAATTGGTCATATGCACTATTCCCTAAATGAAAACCAGAATTTTACTGAAAAGAAAAAAAAGACTATAAAATGATGAATCCTTCAAATATATTAAACTGTATACACACAGCTTGTGGCAATTCAATGTGGTCATTTGAAATGAACCTTGTGAAATGTTATCTCCATTGTGGTAGGGTTTAGGAAACTTGTGGTAAGTTCATTATTCTGAAAGAGCCTTTCAAATGAATCCATGATCTCTGAGTTTGAAATTAACAGAATATCCTTGGTGAGGAGAGGAGCCTGAAGCAGCCATTGTCCCTTCATGTTAGAAAACATATTTTCCTCTCCCCTTTTCAAAAGATAGTTTTTGTCACATCCTGGCAATGAAGACAGTTGCTATGGAAAACGCACAATGGGGCCCGGCATTGTGAATACACACACAGCTCATCCTCAGACAATTATGTGTTTTCACCCAAAAAAGATTGCAATTTTCAAGGAGACAATACAAACAGACAGAGAGAGGGAGGGAGAGAAAAGGCATGTAAAGCGCGCTCACTCCTATGTCAATCAACAACGAAGGCCCCGAGGGTGATTAACAAAATGGTGGAAAAAACAGCTTCATTGTTAGGCGGCATGTTGGTTTGCAGTCACCATGACACGACCAGAGAAAGACTGGGGCGCTCTATAGCTGTGTTGTATGGTGAACATGCTCTGCACCAACTGAGTACCACTCGTGTTCCGGAGGTAAACACCACACTGCATTTACGGCTGCATTGGATATACTTCAGAATGACCTCAAGGCCTGTTTACACTCATGGTCAGTAAGACTGTAATTTAGTTTACTAAAGGTCTGTCTTCTTGGCAGCAGCACTTGAGGATTGTTTTCGCATTATAAAAAGGCATACATATTCATTTTGTCATGTTAAAATGGAAATCCCTGAGACTCATTAAGCTATCAAAGGGTCTCTTGAGATAAAGCACGGATTTGCAAGCAGGTTGTGTGCATTTAGAAATCCATCTTAAGACCATGCTTCAGATTTAAAATGATACTTTGATCACACCTACTTCTGTTATTTTGTCTGACTAAATAGTGTAATATAACTGCAATGAATTTCAAAAAGGCATGATGCTTTGTTTCTGCTCTAACCGTTTATAGACACATATAAGGCTGAGACAGATATAAGAGTATATAGACAGATGTATGAGTATATAGACACTTATAGGTACATAACATAGTTATGTTTAAACTAACTCATGGTACAGCACTACAATTAATTCAATAAATGAAAATCGTAATATGGACAAGTGCAATGTTCAAACTGCAGGAAGCACAATATTTGTTAAAGGCTAAATATGTGTTATGTGCCAAAGATATTCTGGCCTACAAATCATCTCTCCCTCATTTTCTACATACTTGTCAAAACATATTAGTATGGTAAAGATCATATTAAAATCTCTGAAAAATCTTAATTTAAAAAAGGTTAGTGATAATGAGAATAACGATTGAGAAAATGATTATTCTCTTTAATAGTGTGAATCATATTGCAATTAAAATATCAGTTAAAGTCATGGCAACAAGTTATTCTTTCGAAATGGTGCAGCCCTAAATCAGAGTCATACTAACCTGCATGACAGCGTTGAAGAAGCAGGTGTTCCCGAGGTTGTTTATGCCTTTGACGGGGACCAAGGTGCTGTTGGTGGCAGGACTCTTGCCTTTGGCCGAGTCGGCATAATCTGATGGATCCTCTTGCAGCTTGATGATTTTGGGTGATGCTCCTGACAAAAGTATAAAACATTAAGTGATACAGAGTAGCAGCAACTCAAAAACGATTGGGGAAATTGTTCAAGAGATTATCAGTGCCAGCTTTTTTGTTTCTTTTCAAACTTTCATTGATTTTTCTTTTCGTGTGAAGCATTTATGTCTTCATAAAAAAAAAGTTTGTTAGGTTATTGTGATCACATAAATCAAATCAAATTATACAGGCGTGTGCCGGTTTTGCCCGCAGTGAAATGTTGTACCTGAAATCCTACAATAATGGATTCAATCAGAATATTTGGTCCATTCAAAAAACATGTTGGAAATGTTTGGACCACAGGGGCCAAATCCGCAGCCATCACTGAAATCTAATTCTACAAATAAGATAATAATAATAATATAAGTGTAACCTAATCTTTATTTTTTACTGTGCAGAACTCGATTGTTGATTTAGAATTTGAATGTGAACATTATGAATGAAGTTTCAAACCATCCTGTACAGCCGTAATGGGCAGTCTTTGAAATTGACCAAATCATCTGCTTCTATACCCTGATTTAGCTTTCACTTTGAGGTTATTTAGGCTAAATAAGTCTTGGCAGCGAAGCTTTAAGATAGAGCTGAGGTGGTGGCAGAGATGGCAAGTTGTTTGAGATTGAGGGTAAAAGTCGGCATCCTTTAAATTGAGATGTTGTCAGGATACAGGAAAACTATTGGGCTTAGCCTTGAAGCGAGACTGGGCTGGGAGCAGGGTGCTGCGCCGGCAGCTGGAAGGAAAGCTGGGTCATTTGGGAAAGCAGATGACAGCTGTAGAAGTTTCCGCTGGTTAGTGTGGAAAGGGTGGGGGCTGGGGTTAGAGAGATGGCTCTCCAGAGCCAGCTGTTACTCCTGATCACCAATGAAAACCTAACCTTAAACACAAACTAAGACACAGATGGTCCGAATCTGACAGTGACGTGCAGAGTAGGTAGTGGAGCTGTGCAAGCTGAGGCGTGCCAGCAGATAATAAAAAAAGCCAACACCATGATGACTCAATATCAATAATACTGTTTCTGATACATCTTCGTAGCAATGGATTTCAACTAGTAAGGAATCCTGGAAAATTGAGATTTGAAGCCCTCATGCACAACATTGTGTTGATCTAAAAGATGTGGCCAAAAGAATAACTTGTCAGCATGTTTAAAAGAAGGTTTAAAGCCACAGTTTGGGGGCTAACAGCAACACTTTGCTTTAACAATCTGTTCCACACTTCAACGGATAATGAATATTTCCTATTTTCTTAAATCTTTAAATGAGTAACGCAGTGTATGTCTAGGGCTAAAATTGTGAAATGTAAAAAGAGAAGTGTATGTACGCTGTCTTTGTCAGGTTTGAAAGGAGTAATACAATGTGATGTCTAGGTTTGAACGACAGATACTTATTTGTTTTATAAACCTCAGCTACACTTGCACATTGTATCTTTGAATATGTTACTTTCTTCCATACAAAGTGATTCATTGATGCATTTGTTCACGGTTATTCACTTTTTGTCGTGTAATATTCGCCTAAAAACAAAAATAATAGTTTGGAAAAGTCTATTGACCTTACCAGATTCAGTCATAAAGTAACACTTTTGTACTATTCTACTTCCTTATTTCCTTTTACGTCTTAAGTATATTGTATTTTGCATTGTTGGAGGAGCCATTGCCAACAACTAAACTGTAGCTATTGTGCATATGACAATAAAGCCTTTGAATCCTTTGAACAGAGTTGAAACAATGTCTCTTTTTTAAAGCAGGCTTTTCAAAACATGCATTTAAAGAGTTTAGGTATGGTTACATTAATTTAAAGACTATTGTGCTTTTTGAAATCTTCAATAAATCATAACTAGACTTCTAGACTCCCTGCTTTCTATGTCAAATTGGTAGTTGCGGTTTGAAGAGGGGGGGAATGTCTGTGTGAGAACACTATAACACTATGTTGAGAAAGAATGAAGAAAAGGAGGCGGTGCTAATGGGTTTAAAGTAAAGGGAGGAATATGAGTGAAGCAATGAATGGAAGACACCTTAGGAGGTGCTAATTGAGACGGAGATGTGTTCACTCAATGTGATATTGGAGAAGTTTGGCCCTTCCAAAAAGAAAATCCCAGGCGCCTAGCTTCATGCAAATTATCATTGGCTTCAGGATGAATAAATGACAAGATCAGTATAACATGGTCCTTCTGGTCTGTATGGTAAAACATAAAGTAACTTGTATATATGTATAAAGTCAAAAAGTGACAAAATGTTGAAATGTGTGACTAGCCAACTAAAATACCTGCATTGTTTCTAACATGTATGTGTAAAATCAAGAATTAACTCCCAGAGATGATCACTTTTCATTGTGGAAAAGGTGGGGAAGAAGGTTGTTCTATCCCATTATGCAATAAAGAGAAACTGAGTTAGAATTCCTGAACCTTTCCTGCAGAATTTCCACAATTTTACACAATCTCTGCAGCCTTCATGATTTAAAAAGATAGAAACTGCTGTATACTACAATCACAAGTATATACTATATAATCAGAGACACATGGATGGCTTAGAAATGTACCTAGAATTATTGTGAGCAGTTAAATATATCTTTGTCATTTACTGGTTGTGAAAATAAATAATGACGTTTTAGCCCTTTAAATGCAAATCTTGTGTTTCTTTACACATTTTCGAACACTTCCAAAGCGCATTATACAGTTAAAAGATTTTTTTTCTACCTTTCCTGAGCTGAAAATCAACTAACTATCAAACTGCATACGTTGGAGCATCTTTGAATACACCAACATGAGGAGAATGCACAAGCTGCTCCATCGCAAATGGAGCCACATGACATGATAAACGAATATTCAAATGCTTCTTAACTATGTTACAGGACATTACAAGTAAAAAACAAAACAAATATTTGGTGTTGTTCAGAATATTGATAAGGTTCTATCATTTTCTTACAATTTCCTTTACTGCAAGGAGATGATAAGACATGTTAACTCAAAATGAAACGTTCTTGCAGGGACTGATGGCAGTATCTTATGGCCTTACAAGCTGTAGAGGAATCAACTAAATGCTGGTAAACACAAAAAAGAGTTCGGTCCATGAGCACTTCACCCATGTAAGCTAGTCAAGAGAGCAGGCCGGCAGTGAGGTCAGTGGCCTGAACCTGCTTCTGTCTAAACTAAGGAAATTCAATTGAACCGTCAACCATCATAATCATCCTAATAACCTGCACCTTTACTCCTGCCGTTATTCTCCTCAACATTCAATGGCCTTGCCCTTGAACATTTTCAATTCATAGAGGCACTCCTTGTGTAACAGATTTTTTTGAAAAAAAGCTATTCAACCTGCAAGCGGTGGTAACTCCACTGCTGGCCGCTACCCCGCGAAGCATTTTCCCTCTTCAAGGCCAAGGACATTAGCGGAATGTGAACTGGGGGCTTTTCACTCGTGGCCTGGCAATTTGCATTTTATTCTCTATCAAATTCAACTCAAAAGGAACGAGGGGAAAAGGGCAGCTTTTCTTGTTAAACAGCTTTGAGACGAAACACACACACACACACACACACACACACACACACACACACACACACACACACACACACACACACACACACACACACACACACACACACACACACACACACACACACACACACACACACACACACACACACACACACACACACACCACACACACACACACACACACACACACACACACACACCACACACACACACACACACACACACACACACACACACACACACACACACACACACACACACACACACACACACACACACACACACACACACACACACACACACACACAATAAGTCTTGTTTTGTGATTACGAAGGGCGAGGTTCAGCTTGTAGGGACAACATCTTTTTGTGGTGCTTCACCCAGAGGTGCTAAAAGCATCTGGCCCTCTTTCCTGACAACATCTGGAGGCCTATTTCTATCTTCAATATGCAGCCATAAGGGAGCCCCCATATGTCATATCACACAATGCATGGAACACAAGTGGAGATGGGGGCAAAGAGTGCAGCGCTGATCAGGAAAACATTCTGGAATGGTGTAAGACAGAGAAGGTGTGAAGAGATGTGTTTACAGCTGAACAGCTGAGCAAAAAATAAGTAATGGAGAGAATGAACAAGTCTGTAAATGTGTGTTTACTTGTGGTGAGATGATCGGCACAATCAACAGATTTAATTCAACCTGAGTGTAAGAGCTGTTACTTGTGAGGAAGCAGAGGAATGAGGAAACTAACTGGGCGGAATGAGGATGCCGATGGACACACTCTGCATCTGGGACCGTCACCCAAGGTAAACAATGTTCAGGGAGCCATCTGGTTAAGACTGGGGAGAGGGAAGGGGGGGCAGAATGAGGCAGTGGGTGGAGGGAAGGGTTGCAACGAGCACAAGCATATGGAAAAGCAGATTTTTCCTCTCCCTGCAGCAGTCAGCGAAGGCAAATGTCAGCATGCGCTGCGTCCACGCTTGACTGTGCTGCGCTCGGCACCACCACCTGGCCCTCCTTGCTCAGCCACCGAGTGTAGGCAGCAGTGACACTGTGGACCCTCTCCCCAGGGTGGGGGAAAGCATCACGGTGCTCAGGATTGTCCACATGCACGCATATACACCAACACCTCCTGCACTCCCTGCTCTTTTTCACACAAGAGATACAAAAAAAAGTGGGCCTTGTTTTATTTTACAGGGAACAGCAGGAGAGTACTTGCAGAAGAAACAAGAATAAGTTGGAACCTGGTACATGGTTGGACCAAATGTAGTCAATGTGCTGCGTTGTTTCTCGAATAGTAAGTCAAAGTGCCTCTTGTCAACGCCTTGATATTAAAGGTTCCTCAGCATTTTCCTGTAGTGGTTCCAGTAATATGTCTTATTTTGAGAGTACTGAAGTAGCATATATGATATGACTAAGCTATATTTAATTTAAAATGTTTAAAATGTTTAAAGTATTAATGTTACGAATGCAACAATAAAATCATATTTTTCCAATAATG